CAAAATTCAGATCCCTGCGACCAAAGTCAAGGTTACACATAGAGGTCAAAGTTCAGATAAAAATTTGAAGATGGTTATAGGGACCATTTAGTCATCATTTATTGATGGATTGTAGCACAAATGGTAACTATCATGACTACAGGTGTTACACATTTAATTTAGGTTAATATTTGCAAAGTCAAGGTCACTGGAGATGATTAAATATCCAGATGTTGTCCGGAGCATATTTTCTACATGCATGGAGGAATTTTAATGTTACTTTTATAGAATTGTTCACCACCATGAGACGTAGTGCCCTGCACATAAACCAAGTCTCTAGGTCAAAGGTGAAGGTCACAGTTAGAGCTCATAGAAAAACACTTGTCTGGAGCAAAACTTCTACATGCATAGAGGGATTTCAATATAATTTGGCACAAATGTTTATCATTGTGAGGCTGAGTGCCGTGCATAAAATTCAGGTCCCTGCGACCAAGGTCAAGGTCACACATTCTGTGCATATCTTCCCTATTGATTTGTTTTAAGGTTCATTTAACAACACAGTGCCAAGAATAAAAACTTGCTTGCTAGATAACACTTATCCATAATGCCCCCATCTCCATCTAAAGCTTTTTCGTAAACGGGCGTATTTTGTGACTATGGCACCCTTGTTGATATTCAGATTCTTATTGGTAACTTAAGCTTATGACGGCATCTTCCATTTTATATATTCATAAATACTAATAAAAAGTCATATATAACTGCATCATTTTGATTAAATATTTCAATTTTCACTTGCAGTACTTCAAACTTCTTTTCAAAAGTCATGTACATAATAATATTCTGATAAATATAAAATGCATTTCCACTAAACCAGCCTTGCTAGCGCACAGGTAGAGTGCTGGTCTGTCAAAAGGTAGACCTGTATTCAATCCCTGTCCTTTCCATTAGTCCAATGCCATTATTTTGATAACTGTTCTAATTGTCGAGCATGCTGTCATCGGATAGCTCTGATTTGCTTATTTCCAAATTTATGCCCCTTTTTATACTCGATGGAACTCATGGTAAACTTTTTGCTTGTAAGCTGGTATCTCCCTAACTACTGAAGGGAATTGAATGAAACTTAACATACATTTTCACTGTGATTTTTTTAAACATGTTTTGGCACAGGTCCCATAACTTCAATTTACTTATTTACATATTTATGCCCCTTTTTATACTCAGGAAACATCCTTGTGACAACTCTAATCAAATAGTCGAGCATTGGCTGTCCTCTGACAGCTCTTGTTTACATTGGTCAAATCTGCTTGGCATTTTTCTGATAAACGTCAAACTGTAGAAAAAGAAAATGCGATGCCTTTCAATGAAGGACTAGTGTTCTACATGTACAAGTTTACTGTAATTGATAATGCAATAAATCTTAGTATCTAACATCAATATATTTGAACTGTTGAAGCAGTAAACATATTAAAAACTTTGACTAGGAAAACAGTTGACCAACACCTGCAAACTTTGTAACATACAAGATGATGAGTTTACTAATGTCATTATTAGTTTATACAAATTTATTTAATTTTGATTGTGTTGAAATCTATAAGCTTATTGAATCAGTTCCTGGAACCAACCAGCCAGTACTTAGCAATGAGTGTAAAGTTTAATGCTTACAGAAACAACAGCTTGCTCCTGAAGGAGTTATGACTTCGCATGGCCAGCAATACTTAGATTACTTGTCCAAAGCGTTGCTTGTCTAGAGTGTTGCTAGTCCAGAGTGTTAAACAATTGGCCACACTGCCATTGTGTCGCCTTGAAAAGGCGACATATAGGGGTTACTTTTGTTGTTGTTTGTGTCGGCGTCCCCTAAAGCTTGTCCAGAGCATAACTCAGTCACTATAGGTCGGATTGACTTCAAACTTGGTATGCATGCTTCTTTCAATAACCCGAAGTGCAGTGCACAAGGACCGGTACTCTGCACTTCTTAATTTTTGAGTTATTGCCCTTTGTTAATTTTCATACTTTAATTTTGTCTGGGCCATTTCTCTTCAACTATAAAAGCCATGGACTTAAAACTTCATAGGATGATAGATCTCATTAAGAAGAAGTGCTGTGCACAAGAAATGGTACTCTGCTCTTCTTAATTATTGAGTTATTGCCCTTTGTTAATTTTCATACTTTATTTTTGTCTGGGCCATTTCTCCTAATGTATAAAAGCTATGGACTTGAAACTTCATAGGATGATAGATCTTATTAAAACGAAGTGCAGTGCACAAGAACTGGTACTCTGCATTTCTTATTTTTTGAGTTATTGCCCTTTGTTAATTTTCATACTTTATTTTGTCCGGGCCATTTCTCCGAAAGTATAAAAGTTAAGAAATGGTACTCTGCTCTTCTTAATTATTGAGTTATTGCCCTTTGTTAATTTTCATACTTTATTTTTGTCTGGGCCATTTCTCCTAATGTATAAAAGCTATGGACTTGAAACTTCATAGGATGATAGATCTTATTAAAACGAAGTGCAGTGCACAAGAACTGGTACTCTGCATTTCTTATTTTTTGAGTTATTGCCCTTTGTTAATTTTCATACTTTATTTTGTCCGGGCCATTTCTCCGAAAGTATAAAAGCTATGGACTTGAAACTTCATAGGATGATAGATCGCATTAAGAAGAAGTGCAGTGCACAAGAACCGGTACTCTGCATTTCTTATTTTTTTAGTTATTGCCCTTTAATAATTTTCATACTTTATTTTTGTCCAGGCTATTTCTCCTAAAGTATAAAAGCTACGGACATGAAACTTCATAGGATGATAGATCTCATTAAGAAGAAGTGCAGTGCACAAGAACCGGTACTCTTTGAGTTATTACCCTTTATTAATTTTCATACTTTATTTTTGTCCAGGCCATTTCTCATAAATTATAAAAGCTATGTACTTGAAACTTCATAGGATGATAGATCTTATTGATAAGAAGTGCAGTGCACAGAAACTGCTGCTTTGCACTTCTTATTTTTAACCAGGTTTTTCCGAAGGAAAAAACTGGTTATTAGATTGAGGTATGTCGGCGGCGGCGGCGGGCGGCGGGCGGATGGGCGGACGGGCGGGCGTAAACAATTTCTTCTGTGCGCAACTCCTCCTACATTTTTCAACGGATTTTGACCAAACTTTCACAGAAGCTTTGTCATCAAGTGACCTGGCGCATATTGTCGGGGTTTTTGTGATTGGATAATATTTGACCTAATTATGGCCCTTTGTTTTTTCCTTATATAGAATATATAGTGAATAATTTCTTCTGTGCCCAACTGTTCCTACATTTCTCAATGGACTTTGACCAAACTTTCACAGAGGCTTTGTCATCAAGTGCCCTGGGGCATATTGTCGGGGTTTTGTGATTGGATAATATTTGACCTAATTATGGCCCTTTGTTTTTTTCCTTATATAGGATATATAGTGAACAATTTTCTGTGCGCAACTCCTCCTACATTTCTCAACGGAATTTGACCAAACTTTCACAGAGGCTTTGTCATCAAGTGCCTTAGGGCATATTGTCAGGGTTTTGTGATTGTATAATATCTGACCTAATTATGGCCCTTTGTGTTTTTTCCTTATACAGATTATATAGTGAACAATTTTTACCATGCGCAACTTCTCCTACATTTCTCAACAGATTTTGACCAAACTTTCACAGAAGCTTTGTTATCAAATGCCCTGGAGCACATTATCGGGGTTTTGTGATTGGATAATATTTGACCTAATTATGGCCCTTTGTTTTTTTTCCTTATACAGATTATATAGTGAACAATTTTTACCATGCGCAACTTCTCCTACATTTCTCAACAGATTTTGACCAAACTTTCACAGAGGCTTTGTCATCAAGTGCCCTGGCGCACATTATAGGGGTTTTGTGATTGGATAATATTTGACCTAATTATGGCCCTTTGTTATTTTTCCTTATACAGAATATATAGTGAAAAAAAAATTCTGTGCTGAACTCCTACATTTCTCAACGGATTTTGTTCAAACTTTCACAGTAGCTTTGTCATCCAGTGCCCTGGAGCATATTGTCGGGATTTTGTGATTGAATAATTTTTTATTTAATTATGGCCCTTTTTTTTTTTTCCTTATACAGAATATAATTATAGTGAACACTTCCTCTGTGGCAATTCCTCCTACATTATTCATGTTTTACATTGCACATAGCTACATTGTTTGTTGCTTGTATTTGTATTTCAAATACAACATATTTATCTACAATGGTGATAATTGAAAACCTGGTTTCATGGCATTGCCATGTTTCTTGTTTGAGTTATTGCCCTTTGTTAATTTTCATATTTCATTTTTGTCCTGGCCATTTCTCCTAAACTATATTGTTCACAAGGCGACACATCCGACTCGCGGAGTTCTAGTTTATGATGTTCTTATTGATGGGACTAAGGGAGTAATGGCCCAACTAGAGCCTTGGGATGATGAGGATAGGTAATAGGGTCCATAAGCTGCCAGTACTATAGTACTGGGGCATTAGGGTCAGTCCATTGTCCAAGATATTATAGTTACTGTACATGCTTGGTCTCATCAGCCATTGTACCATGACCTAATATCTGGCTGGAAATTAATTTCTCTGCCGGAATCGCAATGAAGAAAATTATGACAACTTTATGCTTGAAAATCGAATATTTAGGGGCATGATGTTGACTTGACATGCATGGGACATTTTTATTGTTTGCCTCCTTTATGACTGCAGAAGAATAATTTAAAGAATTTGACATACAGTTATATATTTCTGCAAATTTGTCAGATATTTCTATGTATTAATTTATATGTTGCATATATTTGTTAAAAATTTCACTGAATAATAGCGCAGCCACTAGAGTATTTGTCCATTCACCTTTTACTGCCAAGGGTAGTAATAGAATGATTAAATTAGGCTTCAATAATACAATTATTAATTCAAGTTAATGAGGCCAAAAATAAAAAAAAAGTTTACGCAAGTTTCAATGAGGAACACCAGGGTAAAGTAACTATGAATCATTATAGGTGCGTGGTGCTCCAGCTATTGCCATTGTTGGTTGTCTAAGTTTAGCAGTAGAGTTGATTGACACAGACTTCACTAATACTGACGATGTTGCTTCATATGTGGCATCAAAACTACAGTACCTTGTATCAGCCAGACCTACAGCTGTCAACATGAAAGAAGCTGCTGACAGATACACAAGTCTAGTGAAAAAAATCACACTTGAAAATTCAGCATCAGTCGAGAGTGTAAAGAAAAGGTAAGCTCAAAAATAGCAGATGGTATAAAAAATATACAGTTTAGTCTTGCTGTAAAGATAAATCAAGATTTTAAATTTTTTTTTTATTTAATCTCAAGTTAATTCAAATTCCATGCCATTTTATAAATTATCTTAAACAGCAACCATTAATCTTAAAGGTTAACATTTTTTTTTTTTGCAGTTATAAATAAAAAAAAGCTTTTATTGCAGAAATTAATTTAAATGTTGAAAATTCCAAAATGAATATGTCTAATTTGACTAGCTTAGTCAGGATTTATTTGTACTGGTTTGTATTTACCAAAATGATACCAAAGGTCCAACTCCAATATATTTATTTATGAATTGTAAACAAACAATATAAACATGAATAATAATATATATTGCCTATCTGCAATCATAGAATATTATATAAATTACTATATAACATATGTTTGTATCAGCTTATCAAGGTTACATTTACATATCCTAAGCCTACAGGTGAGTAAACAAGTAAATATCAATTAACTCTTTTTATTTTACACTTATTTAATTTTACAATTAACACATTCTATAACCCTAAATCATAAAATATAACTTACCTGTAAATATCCCAAGATATTTATTTATGAAATAGTAACAAACAGTAAAAAGATAAACTATATATGTCTATGTCAAAATGTAAATTCACACAAGATACTCAAACATAGGATATCTAGCTACGGGTGACAATTTAGTAATGGCAAGTATAGGTAAGTATAGGATATCGACCGAGTACGAGGTCTTTCTGTTTATATATATTTTGCATTTAACTTAGCTTTTCCCTTTAAATAATAATAAAAAAAAGCGAAATGTGCAATTTGTCAATAATAAAGTGAATAGGTCTGTTATGGAAGGTATGTTAAAGAATGAATAATTATGTTGATTATGAGTATTTCATATCAGACAATGCAGATTCTAGGACATTTGCCCCCGGACGTTTGCCCAAATTTTTTTGCTGTTGTGACTTGTCACTTGTTATCTCGTGTATAGATTTTTGTATGCCAATGGAAACATTATAGTTCATTTATTAATGGATGCTATTTTGACTTTCACAAATTTATGAGAGACATTTTGTGTATTTGAGAACAATGAAATTTCAACAATGAATATTGGTAGCAAACAATTCAACAAACAGTAAAATATTTTAACGTTTTTAAAACAGGGAGGGGGCAAATGTTCGCCCCTTCCAAAGATATGAGGGGGCAAATGACCACCACTGCAGAAAAGGGGGCAAACTTTCAAGGGGGCAATTGTCTGAAAAGCAATGTCCGGATACCCTGCAGACCACGAAAGACTTACATATGGTATATTTTTACAAGTGTAGATACATGAACCCAAAAAACCAAAACTATATTTTATATAGCAGTTATAAAATAGAATAAAACATTTAAAATCGGTAAATAAGTATGCCTAGTGATTACTCCTATATAGTTTCATAGATATGAACTTTGAAGTGTCCATTTTGGGTTATATTGTGAACTTAATGAAAGAAAAAACCACTTGGATTACTATTATTTTGAAAAAATGACGTTGATTAAATAAATGTTTAAATGTGTCCTACTTTGACATGCTAATCCCAAATTTTTGGATTTTAGCATTTTTAATATTAGGACGGCTGGAATAATTGCTTAGTTGTATTCAATAAACATTATCTTGTTTAAAAAATCAATCTCGATTTTGTAAGACAGGAACTTATGCACTCATTTACATTTTTTTTCAATTTTTTATTTTTTTTAATTGTATTTCATGTTTTTCTTTGTCTGCGCATTGGCAGGTTATCTTTTCACGAGTATTCATGACGCGGGTCTGTCCTGACTAGAACAGACCTGTGCCATGTGCAAAAGATAGAAACCTCATAAAGGACCCTTTACTTTTGTTTTTAAACAGGTCTATCCGAAGAAAACTATATAGACCTGTCACAAACAATAACAAAATGGCCGCTTAGAGCTGAAAATAGAAAATCTTGTCCGCCCCTTACACAGGTAAATCTCTTCTTT